AATGGATTATTTTTAGACATTATCATGAATAATTAAAAGAATGGATATTTTTTTGATAAAAAATTGCATATGGTAACTATATGTGTATTTTTTGTAAGCAAAGCAAGATTTGACATGTGCATTGTCAATTATATACGAAACATGACGATATGTAATCATTCATATATGAATATTAGGGTATATGCATCAAATGTGCTGTGACCCATGGTTGAGTTTATAATCATTATATATATCAATGTCAATCAATAATGGGTATAATGCATTGCAGATGATATTATTCTGTTTTCTCCCAGCAGAACTCACAGATCAGGTTTTCAGGAAATCGTAAAAATTTATGAACATTTTGCTAAAGCTACTAAACTGAAATTTAGTATAAATATTCGAATAGAAAAATGTAAAACTAAATGCCTTATTTTTCTAAAGAAAGGGTTAATTTTAATGAAATAACCCCAATTTTATTGTTGATTTACCTTTACCATTTGTCAACGACTTAAAACATTTAGGAAATGTTCTGCAAAGTAATAATTCATTCACCTAAAGATTGCAATACAACACGAGCTATTTTCATTTAAAAAATTCAGTCCCTTAACCAAAACTTTTATTCTAACAATCCAGGTGTTCTTTTGAAACTGTACTATGTTTATTGTTGTAGTTTAATGGATCTATAGTATTTGGGACTTGAGTTCCCAATGTGTTTCAAAATTGTATACACCATGGAATACTGCTGTTATAGAATTCTTTTTAATGTACCTAGAGATACGCATAGGTACTTGATTGAAAATATTTCACAATGTTTACATGTAAAAACTATGTTTGTTAAAATATTATAGCAAAGGTCGTCCTACTCCAATCTTAACTACCTGGGCCTTCCTGTGTATACTTAACATCCACTGTATGGGCATTTTAAACATGTGGGAACTATCCACATGTGAACATTCATTCACTCATTATCAAACAGAACAGTGAACTACTTAGTTAGTTAAATATGTTTTAAAATTATTTGTTTTTGGTTATAACCTACAATATTTCAGAATTATGTAAGCCATCATTCACACTGGACGACATGTCCAGAAACCTCTACTTTTATGGCTTTTTTCGGCTAATGTAAATAAGTTAATTATTTTTGATTTAAAATTCTTTACTATTTTGAATTGCTTTAAAAATAATGCCACTTAACCAGAATAAAATAATAAGAAAATTCCTTCATTGTCATTTGTTGTATCAATGCAATTTAAACAAACTTTTTCATATTCAATTAATTTTCTTTTATCCTTTCTATGTAATTTATTGTATTTTTGCAGGTTTTAACTTTTCTACATCGATGTTAAAATTTACTGAATAAAGTCCTGTGCTAAAGTGTGACGTTTTATTTCAACAATGTTAGCTAGTAGATGTGTGTCTCTCTATAAAACTATTGAAGCAAGTTCTAAGCTTTGCATTAGATTTCTTTCTAATTTATGCAAAAATGAACTTAATTAACACAGTTCTTGGCAGAAATTTTTTCCCATTGCAAATGACTGTTTTGTAAATCTTAAAAAAAGTTAAGTTAAGAAACAAATAAAATAATTTGATGTCCAAGCATGGAAGAGTTCCGATTTTACAAGAACTTTTAAATACAAGAATGAATAATTTATATGTTGAAGGATTCAATGATTCCGTTTTAAGTGAAATGATAGGTATGTTATATAATGAGTAATGATCAATGTCACCTATTTGTGCATAATTATCTTGATATTTTTCTTTTTTTTTCTTTTGTAAAACTATTTATTTAAAATGTTTAAACAAAATTAAACTACACCATTTATATATGTATGTATATCTTTGTGTGTGAATAAATCTTAAAATATAATATACAATACAAATACTATAATAGTGTAACTGTAAACTGAATAATTGTTTTAAGACGTTAAATAAAGAAGACACTGCAAAAAACATTAATTTCAATAGACATAATTCTGAAAATGGTGCTATTGGCTAAAATATTAGCTCAAGCAAGATTTTCAAAAATTGTATAACTATATTTTTAATTCTGAGTTTCATGAAGAGTTGGTTGAGTTGAGGATGTGCAATGTGCATACTATTATATATGTAGTCCCAATTCAACGACTTTGCAGTCCTGATAAGCAGGGGCGTAGTCTGGAATTTGTCCAGGGGGCGCTTGATTTTTTTTCTTTCCAGGGGGGCTCAGCACTCGTTCGGGCCCAAAAACCCCCTTGAAATCCATAGATTGCACTGGTCCTGGGAGGGGGGGGGGGCTAACCCCCATACCCCCCCCCCTGAAAACGCCTCTGCTGATAAGTCAGTATAAGTATTTATATCTGTAGTCCAGGCATGTACACAGGAAGGGGAAGGGGGAAGAAAAAGTATATGGAAAGAATTTTTTCCCTCCCCCCTCACTGATCCATAAGTGGCTCTTTTTTATTTAAAGTGATGTCCCCTTTGTAGCCCAATGCAGTAGCCCCATTATAACGTATTTATAGTTCTGTATTATTCTCATGAGTAGTCCCATGAAGAGAATAAAGTCCTCCATCATCTTTATTCTCCCAAACCCACTGGGATTTAAAAGGTCTTTCAATTTCAACACTTTGGATGCTTGTGTGTAAGTAAAGCATCATAAGTGTAATTTGAAAGCATCAAAAACAACACTTCAAAGCATCAAAAGCAAAAAGCAAATCAAATTTGATGCCTTACTTACTCTTTTTGAAAAATTTCCAGTTAAATTCTGACTGAATGGGCAAAGAACTAGGAAGCATTGATTTTCATTGTGCTAATTTTAGATGGATTTAACACCACAAATGTTTCCTGATCAGTTGTAAAACAAGATGAAAGAAATCCTTCATTTTTCTGGTCAAAAATCATTTTTGATGCTTTAAAGAAAAACCTAAGAAAGGGTAAGTTTTGGCAAGAGCCCCCCCCCCCCCCGCCTCTTTTAGAGTTAAAGACTCAGGGATATCAAAATTGCCAAATTTCTTAATAGTTCGCTGAAAATGGCAAATAGTTAATAGCCTCAAGTTAGAAGTTAATGGACTCTAAGTCACTTTTCTAAGGCTGAACTAAAAAGAAAAGAATCAAGGGGAATTCAAATCTGAATAGGAATAGAAAAAACATTGATATAAAATGCTTACTTTGACATTATTTTTGACTAAGCAACAAACATTGTGACTAAGAAAAGCGACTTAGAGGTGTGACTTAGAATCTGTCATGAACATTATCAAGCCCAGAGAAAAACTGAGACTTGTGTCTTAGTTAAAAGGTTTTCTTTAAATATTTAAAGTCACAACAAAATTTACCAAGAAAAACGTGACTTAGACATGATTGGGATTGAGAAGGTGTTTTTGTGACCCAAAAAGTGTCTTAGTCACAAATTGGTCTGAAAAGTAAGACTTTGAAATTATTGTGACTTAGAATGGGCCTTAAATATAATTAAGCCAGACAACTTAGATTTAGGCATAAATGTGACTGAAACGGTGTTTTAGACCTTATTAAGACTTAAAATTGTGACTTAGAATGGGGTTTAAAAACAATGAAGCCTAAAAAACATGATGTACATAGTTTTAACTTAGAATTGAGTCTTACAATGTGTCCATGACATATTTGTTTCTTAGAATTGTGACTTAGAATTAATCTTCACAATTGTGACTTAGAATTTTGACTTAAGACATGATTTGGTCTCAGAAGTATGAATGTAACTGTGACTTAGAACTATGATTTGGAATATGTCTTACCATGACTTAGACATGGGTTTGAGTTAGAATTTGTCGAAAAGTTTTGACTAAGAAAAGTGTCTTAGACATAATTATGTCTTATGAGTTTGTCTTTAAATGGTGACTTAGAATGAGTTTTAGTCATAGTTGTGCATTGGAATAAGTCTTAGAAACTTTATCAGACATAATTTGGTCTCAAAAGTATGTTTTTTCTAAGTTGTGACTTAGAATGAGTCTTAGACATAAGCATGTCTCCAAATTAAGAATTTTTTCGGAAAATTGTGAAAAATTAGGCAAAGTTGTGACTTAGAATTGTGACTCAGATAGCCGTCAATTTGGTCTCAAAAATATGATGTTTATGTAATTGTTACTTAGAATATGTGGCCATCAAGTTGTCCCTATACTTCCACCCCATTATTCAGTACAAAATATGTTAAAGATATTTCAAAGGGTTTTTATATTCCAAAATAAAAGAATCATTTTTATCAGAGAAAAGCGGGAATTTTACATACAGTGAAACCCTTAATAACGAATACATCGAAAGAATTCATCAAATGTCGTATTCTTCACTTTCTGATTATGGGATGTTGCAGATTTTTATTTAGTTTTTTAATTAAATTATTATATGGAACTCTTTAAAACTGTTCCTGCATATTCATGGCTATTTATTTATTTTCGCAAATACTGAAATTTACGTAACATAGTATAAAACTCATTGAAAAATTGTCAAGACGACATTGAATAAATTCTTCCGATGTATTCGCTATTAAGGGTTTCACTGTATCTTGACAGTTTTGATGCTGTAACATTTTTAAAAATGGAACATTTTTGATGCTTTCCAACAATTGAAATGTATTTAAGAGATTTCCAAGGGTTGTGTTATGTTAGGTTACGCAAAGCACCTTATTTATCCAAGCTTTAAAACAAAAATCAATGTGAATTTTGCCAATTTATACTTCTTTTTCTGACTGTACTTCTTTTTCTGACTGTTCATAAGCATCTTATTTTATTTATAAAATAATTGAGATTATGTTTGATTGATTGATTGAGTTAAATTATTCGAAACAGACTGACTTGCGGCATTCTCTCCGAGACGACACTGGAAACACATCAAAACAAAAGGCTAAAAAATTAAGTTAGAAGAACGAACATTCAAATGAAAAAAAATAATGACAACCACCAAGTTTGAAATTTACGAGTATAATATATCTTCCTAGCCGTGCTTACTTACTTGAATTGCAGCTGAAGGTCTAAGGAAGGGACAGACATCGTAATTCGTCATGCATTTCAACGATTCCAACCCTATAGGTAACAATAATAGTAAATACATTATATTACGGGTCTGTCCCAGTGAACGATTTTTGGACCCACCGTGGCCGCAGCGCTCGGCCCCCTAGCCCATCCTAGCCGCAGCGCTCGGCCCAGAAAGTGTCTTAACTAACCTAACCCGTGGCCGCAGCGCTCGGCCCCCTAGCCCATCCTAGCCCCATCGCTCGGCCCAGAAAGTGTCTTGACCTAACCTGAGCCTAAATAATGCTAAATAAAAACTAATTTGGTCATGTACAAAATTGATGGGAGGGGGGGGGGGCCAAAAATTGTTCTCTAGGAAATTACCAAATTGGTTATCGTGGGCCATAGCGCCCGGCCCCCGAGCCTGTCCTAGCCTCGCGGTGCTCGGCCCTCTAGCAGCAGCGCTCGTCAGAAATTGTCTTAACCTAATCTGATCCTAAAATAATACAAAATAATAATAACTTTTTCTAAAGACTGTGGTCATGTACAAAATTGAGGGGGGGGGAGGTAAAAAAGTCTTATACCTAGGACGGACCCTGTACTTTTCAAATGTACTATACTTTATATGCTCTTTAAAACTTTACTCTACATGTATATTGTGTACATATGTATTAATTATTTTCAAAATATATCGATATGGATATCAAAAGATGCGTCTCAAGCCGCTGAATACTATCAAACATATAAATTTGAATATTGAATTGTTTGTTTTTATATGACTCAAATTTTCAATACAAAAACCATTTTTTTTAAATAGGTTTATTAATATACAAATCCATTTAAATCAACTTTTCTGAATTTTCGGAAAAGGATAGAAAAAACAGGAAACTTATCAACAAACTAAAAATTTTAAGCTTGAAAACCAGAAATGAACCAAAAATTTACAGAAACGGATCGAAAAACAGAAAACCGACTAACAAACTGGAAATTCATAACTTTTTTTTGAAAACCGAAAATGAACCTAAAATATGCGGAAACGGATCCCAAAAAAAAGCAAAACGACCAACAAACTGAAAATTTATAACTTTTCTGAAAACCGGAAACGTACCAAAAATCTGCGGAAACGGATCGGAAAAAAAAACAGGAAACCAACCAACAAACTGAAAATTCATAACTTTTTTTAAAAACCGGTAACGAACTTAAAATATGCGGAAACGGATCGAAAAAAAGGAAGCCAACCAACAAACTGAAATTTTATGCCCTTCTTTCTATGCTTTTAGGGGCCCATCTTCTATTTAAATTGTGAACATGTTCTTTTTGTTTACATTTGAAAACAAAGAAGAAAAAATTTTTGCGGATTTTTGAAAAAAAATTCGCGGATTTTCAAGAATTTAATTTTTTTTACAAAATTAAAAACCTTTAAAACACATTTTTACATTTTTTAAAAAAAATTTTATCATTCATAAACCTTCCCTGTGGTCACGTGATGTCCCACAAAAAATTTGGACCATCGGTTCAGCCGTTTTGACGTTTATTGGATACAAACAGACAGACAGACAGACAAACAAATAGACAAGCCAAATTTATATATAGATATAAATAAACTGTACAGTACACTGTAAATTGTGCAGGATGCCTGCAGGAGCGAATGCAGAAAGATGGACTGGGGTTTCCTGTTTACAAAGAGGTCACAGCTATCGGACAGGATCATTCCAAGGAATTTATAACTCAGGTAGACTTAGTTCTTTGTACAGAAAGTCTCTTATATTTTGGCAGAGAGAGAGAGAGAGAGAAAGGATAGGGTGGTTTTCAAGTAATTCTAAAGAATATATTGTTTGATCACATGTCGCCCCCCCCCCCCCTTATTATAGCATTATTTAACTTAATTTTAATCATTAATTGAATTTAAAAACACTGATAAATGAAAGCTCTTAGTTTAATTATTAAGTAGTAAAATATATACCTCAGTTTTGTGTAGGTTAGTTTAAGCAACGGATTACTGGCAGAGGGCAGCGGAGCGACCAAGAAGGCTGCTAAACATGCCGCTGCCAAGGCTATGCTGAACATTCTTGACGGCAAAGCAAAGGTGGATTTTCTATAGTCAAAGTATTATCCTTGATAATTCTTAATAAAGGATTTAAGTTATGCCTCTGGTGAAAAATGGACAGCTTTTCGACCTTATTTTTTGTATTAGTCAATTTATTTTTTTCCTTCAAAATTACATTTAAGATTCAAATTTATCATAGGGGGGGGGGGTGGTTGTGGTTTAGAATGATATTTAAGAGCTAGATGCTCTAAAAAGTAAATTTAAATAAATTTTCATGGATTTAACGTTTTCAAATTTTCAGGCGGTAACTAATGATGTTCGTGAATCTATCGATCACGGGCTGGCGGCGCTGCGTGGTGACGCTGGTCCAAGTGGGCTGGATTTAGGAACCGGTTCCAGTGTTGGCAAACCGGTTCCAGGGAACAGTTCGCTTGCTTCGTCGCCGTTCTTCTTAGATTTAACACAACAGGTATTTTTACCTCACCTGATGCAAGAAATTTCTTTAAAAATAATGAATTGCTGGCTCAAAATTTGATCTTTATCAAATCAGGAATAGGCTCAACGTATCTAAGAAAGATTAAAATATAATGATATGGTATAAAAGAAAGACTCTTAAAATCTTAATCTTATGGTAACTGGTAAGTCGGAGAAAGATGTAAAACTAAACTTCTTAAAATTAGGCCAGAAAATGTTGTCATCCTCTAAATCAAGAACATCTTCATGAGATAACAAAACTTACTTTTTCGTTTTCGTCTTAATACTGATTGGATTACTCCCTTGTTCAGAACCTTGGACTGAATGAAGAGGCTCGGATCAGAAAACAGAATAAAGAGAAGAGGAGAAAGAAGAATACGGGAGCTTACATTCCTCCGAATATAAAGGTAAAAAGATGACGTTGGATCTTTTCCGGACTTTTCGTCAAAAGTTTGGAGGTTTAAAAAATGATTAAGAGAGATAAGAAAACGGATTCCACTTATCAAATTGGCTAAAATTCTTTTTTTTTTGTTACATACGGACTGGAGCTCAAAGTTTAATATGAATGGTAAATTTTCAGTAGGTTGATTTTTAAAAGCGATTATATATATTTATTTGTAGTTATCAATTTTTTACATTGTTTAAAAGGTTTTTTTCAGATTTGAATAATGATGAATGATTTTTTTTGTGGCTTAGCTTATCACATCAAAAGCTTATTGTTGAATTAGTTAAATAAACGCATGTTTGTTAATTCTTCAGTTATGGTTGATTTGATTGATTGATTGAGTGATGATTGATGGATTGATTGATTAATTGATTAATGTTAAGGAGACCACTGTCCAGTCCTCGTCAGCCTGGATTAAAGAGATGTTGATGGAGGAGGTTAATCTGGAGATTGACCGACAGAGACTAGCCAAGGAACCTCAGGTACAGATAAGTTTCGGTCTTTTTATTGTTTATAATAATGTTTTTGTTTGTGATGTCTCTAAGGACCCTATCTAAGGGTTTTATTCGTAAGATTTATAAGACTGCCTTTTTCCTTTTTTTTCTATGAATTTTTCTATGTAAATTTTTCATGTTTTTTTTAAAAAGCTTTTCAAGGTTTTCAATTTTTTGTACTTTTTTCTTTTTTCTATTAATATATTTTTTCACTTTTTTTTCTTTTTTTTTGTTACACATTAACTAACAAAAAAGTTGTACACATCAAATTTTAATTATACAAATCATTACATGATACAATTTTTGCTCAGAATGATAAATATTTAAATCTCCTATTGTTTGTTATTAACTTGAAATACTGGGTTACCCATAAAGGATGAGACTAATGACGACCTGAAATCATTAAATCTGACTATTTTAAGGTTAAATTGAATCTACTCCTGTAAATTTTGATCTGCTCCTGTAAATTTTGATCTACTCCTGTAAATTTTGATCTGCTCCTGTAAATTTTGATCTGCTCCTGTAAATTTTGATCTACTCCTGTAAATTTTGATCTACTCCTGTAAATTTTGATCTGCTCCTGTAAATTTGATTTACTCCTGTGAATTTTGATCTACTCCTGTAAATTTTGATCTACTCCTGTAAATTTTGATCTACTCCTGTAAATTTTGATCTACTCCTGTAAATTTTGATCTGCTGCTGTAAATGCAGTCGTTTTCAAGTGTTGTTAATTATTTGGTAGAGAAATAAGCAAGGCCAAAGCTACAACCTTGAATTTAAGGAAAAAGACTGATTAAATTATGTCGTCTTTAAAGTCTCATCATTTGTGGGTAATCCTGCAAGTTTGGTATGATGTTATCAATTTCCGAAAAGTTTTTAACATTCATGGTTTTATTCTGCTGTAGATGGCCCTGCAAATATCATTAGATGCATGGTTTAATTTGTTAAGAAAAACCTCTATTAAGATAATATTCTCAGAAAAAATAGGGAAAAGCGTCCTCAGGATTTTCATTTAAAATCCCTCCGGGGGTTTAAATTTTCATCAATGACAGCCGGTTCTACATGGACATACATAATTAAGTTTATAGATTGGCGGGATTCAGTGAAAAATACATTAAATAACCCGGTTTTTATAAAGGAACGTATATTTGATGAACACTGTTAAGGCTGAGGAGATCTGTAAACTGTGTAACCTGGTGTTTATTAATGAGAAGATGTGCAAGAAGCATAAGAAGGGAGATTTCCACAGCAGGGTCCAACAGGTAATCCTCCCCACTCCCTCCCAATCCTCCTTCATTCTTCCGCCCTCCGTCTCCATCCCCGTGCACACTCTTCCCTTTCCGTCCCATTACCTCAAAACCAATCCTGGATCCTATCCGCAATAACAAAATCATTTGGGAGCATGCATCTGCACAGAAGAAATGGATCGGTAACCTGTATCTGTAAAGATCCGAATCATGTATTTGCATTGTTGCACTTAAAAAATGGATGGGGTCATAATGCGCACTGATAAAATTTGATGTAGCGCTTTTTAAACTTTTGTTTTGATTGGTAATGACAAGTTTCCTGGCTTTAATGTATAGAATGGTACGATGGTTAATATACCAAACCCGATTGATTAAAAAAATTGACAGATTTAATTGATATAACGATTAATTTAACCGATTGAGTAATTTTAGGGCGATTTTCCTGGTAAAGGTGGATTCCACTGTTTTCTCTGCTGGGTTAATTATCTTCAGCCTGAGAACCTGCTCAATCATATTTCCAGGTTGATCTGAGTAAAACTAGTTTTTTTTGTTGCAAAATTAAAGGGTTAACAGTTTTCTTTTGCAAAATAAAGGGTTAACAGTTTTTTTTTTGCAAAAATAAAGAGTTAACATTTTTTTTGCAAAAATAAAGGGTTAACAGTTTTTTTTGCAAAAATAAATATGTTAGCATTTGGAATTTGAGACTCTTGTAGTTATTTAAAAAGAAAACGATAGATTTAATTTTTTTATTTTTTCAGGCCTAATCACCAGGACAGAGCTAAGAAAGAAGGAGTTCTTAAGGAATATTTGTTTATTAAATCAAATCATATTTCTTTTACACTTGTATCTAGAAGTGACTTTACTCAATCAAGACTGGAGAAAGGCCTCATTGTTGTTTGTAATCTACTTCTGCATATACTGAAAAAAAAGATTTCAACGAATTATTTGTCAGAAATAAAAATTAGGAAATGATAAACATTTTGAAATATTTATTCTAAAATCGAAAATTTAACATGACTGATTCCGCGTATATGCATGCGTCCTACAGGGTGTCCCAATTAACTTGTAAACTATATTGTCCCTTTATTGTTCACGCAACAATCTTGGGAATTTCGGTTAAAACATTTAACACCGGAAACTAATAGTCTGTTAAATTTGGTCTACAAATAATACCAAATTGAAAATTTATAAGATTTATTGAGAAATTTATCCGTATTTCAATTTATTAAAAATCAACAAATTTCTTTATCTGTCTGATATCGTAAATTTTAAAGATACAAAGAAGAGCACTTTTTGGAAAGCTCATAAGACAAACAATCTTTTATTGATACACTTTTTGTCATTTATTAAATATTATTTATCTTAAATCAAAAATGATTTTCAAGTAGTCTCTTAATTCCAATGTTTATTGGGACACCTTTTAAAGAACGGAACTAAACTTGTTGTCTAAACATATTTAGAAGAAATATCGAAAATAATAATTGCATTTTTGAACAAATTTTTTATAGATTTGGATGGAACCGGCTCCACTTGTTCCTACTTGGGACACAATAAAGATGTTTTCAGAACTCAGGCAAATTTTATTTCTAGAATTTCAAAAAAAATTTTTTTTTAATTTTCAGATTTTTTTGTTGGAAAGCAAAAACGATATTTCTGTGAAATTTATCAAAAAAGGAGGAAAAATACTTCCTCCCCCCCTCCGAAATTTAGGTTTTTTAGTTTTTTTAAAGATGAATTGAAATCAAGAAATAAATGCCCTTTAACCCCTTCCCCTCCCCTCCTCCTACCGCCAGTGAATTCTAAAAAATATTTGAAATAGATCTATGGCTGAAGAAGAGGAAAGAAAATGGGGACCAAGGTAAGATAATATATTTCACTCTTAGGAAATCATCGATTTTTTTTCTCTGTTTTGGATGGAACATGAGGGATACCATTTTCATAAACTTAAAAAAAATTCTTCTTCTCCCAAATCGCTGCAAATCATCAATGTTTCCTTTTACTTTAACTTGTACTTGTACTTGTACTTGTACTTGTACTTGTACTTGTACTTGTACTTGTACTTTTAAACCTCAGGTCTGGAAGTAGAAGTCCGCCGAGGAGAAAGAAACCAAGAGGACGATCTCCAGGTTTTATTTTATTTCCTAATGGGACTGTTCACGTTATTCAAAGGGACCCTACATTGAGTAACATGTCTAGTTTAAAATGTTACCCATTACATCTTAAACCTTTAAAGGGATTATGAACGTAATTTAATGTATAATCTAGTTATCTGGATGTTTTTGTTTCTTTAAAATGTTTATTTTCATTTGCGGTTTCTTTGCGTTCAAGTGACAAGTGCATTCCTTGCTTATGAGAAGCAATCGATAAATTAGATAAATTCACAGAAATAAACACTTTTCGAGTAAGAAAAACGACAGTATCTTCCAAATTTTGATTAGATCGAGGTTTCAAGGGTACCGTTGTAATCGGGCATTGTCGTCTTTGAATGCAGGGTCACTTCAAATTACATGTGCAGTCTCTTTAAAGGTTCTGTTATGCAACGCGTTAAATAGAGAGACTTTCAATATTACGTCGACAGTTTCTATAAAAAGAAAATTATGAGGGTAAAAAGTAAGAGTGAAAAAAAATTTTAATCTTGATTTTGACAAAAGGGATCATGGAAAATGGTGTAAACAATATTTTAATGGAAATCATTATTCATTATATTTAAAAATCGCTGAAATTAATCCAGATGAGAGTATCATCAGATCAGACTCAACTTAACCTTACTTTTTATACTAGATGCTGATATAAAGGAGGGAGTAAGAGGAGACTGGAGATTGGGTAGAGAGAAAACATCGCGTGAAGTAGAAAGAATAAAACAAAGGAAAACAATTCAAACTTATTGAATATTTTTTACTCCGACCAATAATTTTGCTTTATGTAACTTGAAATTAAATCGATTTCTCTATTTATAGAGATAAACCAGACCCTCGTCAAAATAATACAATTAATGTGGACACGATTTTGCACCTCATGTCTCAATAGGAGAGGGAGGGGGGGGGGTGGAAAAGAAAAATAATCTTGAATTGATGTAATGTGAGATACAGAGAGCGGGAGGAAAGACGCTATGCAGAACGCCAGCTTCGGCTGAAGCGGGAGCGAGACGAGAGAATGAGACAGGAATGGAACAGGAAATTATTGGAGCGGGACGAAATGCGGGAAAGACAGCGCGAGACCGAGCGGCGGAGACGGATCAAGGAAGAGGCATACTGGAGAAAGAAGGAGGAGCAGGAGTGGTTGACCTGGAGGGAGAGGGAGGATCGACGAATGAGAGATGAGCTTGCCTGGAGGGTGAGAGAGGATCAAGAGTGGAGGGAGCGAGAAGAACGAATGTGGCGGATGAAGGAAAGTGAACTGTATCATGGGGAATCAAGCTTCTTTGACACAAAACTAAGATCTTCGAGATCTAGTCACAGAGAAAAATCTAGAACACGTAAGTCCTCCAAAAGATCCAGAGATGAAACAGATTCTGAACTTGAAGAAGGGGAGTACGTGGAAATAAAGCAGGAAAAATCAAAAAAGGTTAGTTCATCCCGCAAAGATGGTCGATCAAAAAGAAGACTTAGACCGGAAAGAGAAATGAGCGAAGAACCAGAAAGAAAAATACGTATGGTGAGAAGCCCCATCAACACAGGCAGGTTGGTAAATAAGATTAATAAGAAATATTTTTAATAAGTTTAGTTTTGAATGGTAATAATTTCAGGCGCGGTGAATCAGATCTCAGAGAAATGCTAAGAAAAAGATTTAAAACAAAATCCTCAACCAGGTCCAGGTCCAGGTCCAGGTCAAGATCTTCTTCGGCAGCATCGTCATCATCTTCTAGTTCATCCTCTTCGTCCTTTTCAGATGCAAGGTAAGTGCATTGGGGGTTTGATCAATCAGAATCGGGGTTAAAGCCAATTATTATTCCATGCTCTAGAGACAAACTAAAATGAACAATTTCATTTATTTCTTAAGTAATAATATCTTAAGTAATTATCGTTTACAGATAATCATATGGGACATAGCTTGGTTCGTTTTTAAACACTTGTTTTTGGACCTTTAATAGGTTTCACAAAAATGTCAAAAGTTTTACAAAATTGTTCTTTTGTTCATATTTTTCTTTTCTTACCCGTTGCCACATTTTGATTCTGAGAGAAAATGTATAATTTTACAAATATTTTTATTTTAGTTCCCCACCTCCCCCCAAATCTACTAAAAAGAAGATGAAGATGAAGGAAGAAAGGGGAGGAGGAATAAAGAAGAAAGAAGGAAGATTAGGAATGAAGAAGAAGAGTGGAAAAGCTACTGGTGATAAACTGTTAAAAGTCCGTAGTGCTATTCTAGGTATATTGGACCAGGAAATTAATACGTTAACAAAGCTGTAAAAATTTGTTTAGATTTTTTGTAAACTAATAAGTAGTGATAATAATTACTTTTCCATCATCTTAGAGGGAACGAAATTAATTTGTCTATTTCTTAGTGTTTTTTGATTATGTAAAAAGGAATATTTTTGTTCAATAAATTTTGTTATTTGCCTCATTTCCTGTTGATAATTTTGATGTCGCAAAGTACAGTAAAACTTATTTATGACTAAAGGTTGCAGGAAGGCGGGAAATCTAGGCTTTCCTGAGCCCTTCAGTTTTTCTAGTGATAACCAGAGAACTAGGAAATAGTAAGAAGGCCTTTAGAATCAAGTTAAAACTTCAAAAAGTCCAATGAGCAGGAGACATTGCAATTGTGCAGACCCATTTCACAATATCAATAATTGTGCAGACCCATTTCACAATATCAATGATTGTGCAGACCCATTTCACAATATCAATGATTGTGCAGACCCATTTCACAATATCAATGATTGTGCAGACCCATTTCACAATATCAATGATAAGTAATGCTGAAAGTAAAACTCGTTGCTTTGTAATACCATCAAACTCACTTTAGTATAATGTCGTCTTCCTGTTCCATTGTTTTCTGGTATTCACTGAACACACCTAACCTCCGCTTTTCAGTATAAATTCATACTAAAACTTTTCATATTAGGCGAAAAGGATTTTAAAATGAAAGAACAAATTTTGTCCTTTAAAAAATTGGTGAATCTTGTACAATTCTAGATTGTTGTTTTATAGAATTATCGAGAACTAAAAAAGAAATTGAAAAGGTTTCGCTTGCAACCTAAATTAGATACCACAAAACACACTGAACTCAGTCCAAAGTTTTTGTCTTTAACATTGTTTTTTCTGCCTAAAAACGTAAAATTTACAGAAATTTGCGAGGGTCATGGCTCTGTCATTCCGGAAAACAATTGAGATAAGAAATTTGCCTCTTAAGTAAAAAGTTTTATATTTTATTTAAAAAAATTAACACTTAGTTACTGACAGGAAACCAGATTCATAAGAATTTCAAACCTTTCACAAAATGAGCCGAGGAAACATAAATTCTTTAAACACAATTTTAAATGTCGTCTTCTAGATTTGAACCAGGAAGATATGATGATATCAACCAAACCAAACATTACCGGTTCTCTGTATCTTGTTTGTGCGAGTCATCTCTGGAATTTTCGAACAATTGTGACAGAATATTTGTTAGCGTTCAATGTTGAAACTCGCTAAGGACGGCTTATATGGCGTAGATTATTAATACAGGGTTAGGTCTAATATCCTTAACTGAACAGTTATTTATATTTGCTTAAATGTTGGGTCGGTATCATCAAATGGTGCAATAATTTATCTCCGCTGTCAAATATAGAGTTTTGAGCTTTTGATCATTTTCACGGCACGGAAAAAGCTGTTTTTTAGTTCATGGTTCAAGATGATTGATTACTCGTGCGTATCTGAAAGCGAAGGTACTCGATTGCAGAAAACGGCTTTCGCCCCACCCCCCGCCCCACTTAATAATTTAAATAACCACTTATTTTGCAGCAAAATTATTATTAATTAATTTTTATTTAATTTAGGGTTATGTTAGGTTAAGACAATTTCTGGGCCGATCTAGGGCAGGCTATGGGGCCACATCACTAATTAGATAAAGTGTTTCATATGATATCCTTATACATAATCGATAGGAGGGGGGAGGGGGGAGTGTTCTAAAATCGTTCTCCAGGAAATTACCCAATCGTAAATGTACGATTAAAATCACTGTTACTGTTCAAGTAATCTTAGAGTAAATCGGTAATTTCCTTCTATCAATTTGTACATTTTGTATAATTGATCATGTGGCCGCAGCGCCCGGCCCCTAGCCTATCCTAGCCGCGGTGCTCGGTCCCTTAGCCTGTCATAGCCGCAGCGTTTGGCCTATAAATTGAATATATAATATTTGAAGTATTAGCTTCTAATTAAGTATTATATACATTATATATGCAGTCGTTGATCCATTTGCCTCATATTTTGATTGCACGGTAAATCCACGGGAATGTTCTGAACTTGGAATGAACTTTCTAAATTGAGTGGGTTAACTCTCCAGGATAAGCTGGGTTTCCAAGAAGATAAATATTGGTTAGATTATCATATCGATATAAGGTATTTTATATACCTACTAATTAAGCTCTTCGGTCATATAAATATAAATTTTTAATATTTGTTTCTATTTTAGCGGGCTAAACGATTGGACCAAATTGGATAAAAGATCGTTTTTCTAATTTACATTTTTATAAGTATATAGTAACGCTCTTAGCTCAAATTTATATATTAAAGTATTAACAAATGTTGGAAATTGGATTTTTTAAAATTCCACCGGCAACGCCGGGTACTTCAGCCAGTATGTATTAGGGATATATTTTCCTTAACAGTCGCCTCTCTCTGCAAGGGCTGCATGGTGGTGAACATTTTCATAAACAAGTATTTCTTCCAAGTTGTGTTTAGTTTAATTAATATTTTTAAACAAATTTTAAATCTCTTAAATCTGGCCAAAAACTAACTTCAGAGGAGGTTCTTCTGAAATAAAGAAAATAATTTTTTAAAACAATCGCTTTTTGCAGCAACGAAGTCCTCTGTTCGGGCCCTGACATGATTCCCGGCGCGCTTGTCCTTAACGCCAGCACTCACGGTAGTGCACAGGCCGAAGGTTTCTTAATGAAAAATGCGATTTTATTTAACAAATTAAATTTCAAAAAAAGTCTGAATATTAGCTTGTTGTGCTTCCTGTTCACTTCCTGTTTAATATTTCCTGTTCTAAATGTTTTATGAATCTATTTAGAATTGCAGTTGAAGAGGAGAACAAGATGGTTGTTGATGAGGATCAGTTGAAGGAGCAGGAAACCGGGATCCTTGAACTCGGGAACAGGTAACTGGTAACTATTCTTGAACTCGAGAACAGGTATCCTTGAACTCGGAAACAGTTAACTTTAACTTATTCTTGAACTCGGAAACAGGTAACTAGAACCTAGATTCTTGAACTCGGGAACAGGTAACTAGAACCTTTTCTTGAACTCGGGAACAGGTAACTAGAACCTTTTCTTGAACTCGGGAACAGGTAACTATAACCTATTCTTGAACTCGGGAACAGGTAACTATAACCTATTCTTGAACTCGGGAACAGGTAACTATAACCTATTCTTGAACTCGGGAACAGGTAACTAGAACCTATCCTTAAATGTTGGAATAGGTTAACATTCCAGGATCTTTGAACTTGGGAACCTAGAATTCGGGGACAGGTTACTGGTACCAGGTATGTTTTCATCAAATAAATATTGTTCTGTGCTCTCCTTTTACTTTATACCTTTTTTATCATGTTAACAACCGTCGTACATAATTTTTCTAATAATTTATATTATTATTAGTTATAATATAAAAGTATTGAAATTATGCTCATATATTTTTACGTTAACCTTTGATTGAAAGATTTGAATTAAATTCGTTGTAAATCGATTACAAGGTGTCCGCTAAGGTTTCCACGGATGACCAACTTTTTAAAATAGATGTGCGCAATAGCTTTTCCCATTCCATTGTGTACCGTAAGAACTGAAATAAATTTTTAGCTCAATATCTCCAAAACTCTAGGATATATTCGCTGCTTATTTCTTGTCACGTATAATTTTCTTCGAATTGTCCAGAAAGATAAAATCCGTTGAAATTTTTTAGACATTACAAAAACTATATCCAGAAAACCGCTAAAAATGTACTTTTATAGCATTTTGTACGTTTTTTTGGAACTAATATAATTTATTTTAAATATTTTTTTTTACCATTTCAACGTATCTGAGTTCTTTGTTTGAAAACGAAGAAATTGATATGTAACATCATAATTTCATGAAATATATTTTTTTGCTTTCTTTTGCACTTTTTAAAACTTTGGTTGCGATTATCTCCTAGAATTTAAGAGGTGTCGACCTACAATTTTCAGGAATTACTCACAATGGGAAAAACTACCGCGCTCATCGCGTGCGCCATTTTTAAAAATTGGTAATACCGACCTAAACTGTTCAAGGAATTTCTAACAGAACATTGTGAAATGGAAAAAGTTGCTGCGCCCACTGGTCACGACATTTAAAAGAAAAAAATTCAGCTAAGCTTTTGTGGACAACCTTAATGAACGTGCATTGTTTTGTATTTTCCCTTTTTCAGATATAAGAGTGAAGGAAACGCTCTGGATTTACAGAAACTGATCCAAATGATTCGTCCTTTCACTAAACTTCTCAGCAAAGCTAAAGCCGCCAAGTTGGTTCGAGGGCTAGTAGACATGTAAGTAGATCAACTTGTATAATTTAAGCTTGTCCTTGTCCCAATCTTAACCTTAAAGGGACTGTAAGCTTAATTTCAATTGACCTTCCAGTTATAGAGAGGCATGTCCGATTCACAACAGTACCCTTTAAACCTTTGTCCGGACAACAATGAGGTAGACACCCATTTGTATAGTTGAAGATCGAGTACAGGGAGACTCGAGGTTACAGTGTACTTTGTACTCTCCGTGCTAGTGTACACTCTCGCGGTTTCCTGGTTCTTAATATCTCGCTATATATATATATAAGAAGTTCTACTAAATTCTTGAGCAGACACTGGTTTAAAAGGGTATCGTTGTAAATCGTACATGCCACTCTATAAATGTAAGGTCACTTACAGTTCCTTTAAATCAAAAATTCGACCAATTAAAGCTGTGTTCATTTGAACCGAGCTGGGAATTTTTGAAATGGATATCTAGGAATCCAGCACGCTGAACTTGTTATCCAGTAGTTTAAAACTTTTAAGATGACGTGTTCAACCTTATTGTAGATTTATTACTAAAATTCCCGGCTCGGAGGTCGAATTTAAAGTTTTTGAGCCGCGATTGAAATATGAGACGCGACTCAAACATATTTTTGCGATACTTTATACAAACCGTGTAAGCGGAACTTCTATATTCAAAAACTGGTTTATGTTAGTCGAAAGTTATCAGCACTGGTTTAACACTGGAAATAGTGTTTTACCAGCATTGTTATTAATAAAAATACTTCTTTAAATCCTACTAGTTTTTAGCTGGATATCTGTCTAGGTACCTGGATATGGAGGCAACGACTGGATATGAGGTTGAGTTGTGTAAGGAGTGTATCCAGTGGGCAACCGAGGAGAAGAGAATGTTCCTCAGACAATCATTGGAGGTCATATTGACATTTTCCTAGTTCTTTACTTCTCAACTGAGTGAACACCCCCTCCTCCCATTTATTAAAGAAAGTTGTACAATGTCTCAGCATAACTATTAAGATTCTTAGGCTAGCACACAGACTTGATATACACAGACTGCTCATTAGCTTTCACTAGAAAGGCTAAGTAGGCCTATAGTTGTCCTGAACGACATGCTATATTTCCATGAAAGGTTTTTGACAGTCATCTAACGGCCACTTGTTGCATATAAAACCCATTAGGGGTTAAGTTTTACATATTTTAAAGCAGTACTCTAACTTATAACAGAAAACATGAACTTAGTCTATTTTTGAAGGTTTTGTATTTCATATCCAAAGGATCCTTAAATATCCTTTACTTCTGAACTGAGTCAACACCCCCTCCCCCATTTATTAAATGTTATACAATGTCTCAGCATAACTATTAAGAAACATGAACTTAATCTATTTTTTAAGGTTTTGTATTTCGTATCCAAAGGATCCTTAAATATCCCTAAATACGTCTGTATATTGGTCGTGAACTCCAGTTGTACACATTCACAATGGTACCTACTACTGTGGACAATATTTCATATTCTAGCCTTTAATAGATCTCTGTACTCTCTTATCTCTGCATGTTGGGCTTACAATTTGGAATGTTGGGGGAGGACCTTTATTTTCGTGCTGGGATTTATTCAAAATACTGGTTAAATCTGACTTCAAATATTTTCATCTTCCGCTTCGGCCTTTACAAGTTAAAGGGTTTCGTTGAAACATTTTTTATCAAATACATATCATCTTAAAAGATATTCTTAGGTTCGTCTGTACACATTAGCACTTCTTTGATAGATTGATTGATAGATTGATACATATAGGCCCGACTAATAGCTCTGTACCACGACACTGGACGTTATACTGATGCACTGGGTCTAGGAACTCAGCTGCTCAAAGAGCTCAAGAAACTAGATGATAAGAACCTTCTGGTCGAGGTAATTATATACATTATTCATCAAGTTATCTAGACATTTTTCTCTTCTGGCGGTGCGTCTTCAGGAAATTTTTTTGATAATATTATTTGCTCCCCCAAACCCCTTCCCACCAAAAAAAAAACCCCAGATGTTTGTTTGTTTTGGGCTAAGCGGAACATATTTTAGGATTTGATTTACTACTGATTTTTAATAAATGAATTTTAGGGTAAAATATTTTTTTAATATGGGGGAAACTTGTCAATTGAAGTCAAAATTTTCATAATCCCCAGAGCATCATTATCAACCCCCTGCCCCCCCCCCCTCCCCAGCCAGGTATGTACTTCTTGGAAATTCATAAAATTGTATCTACATTTACTATTAGAAGTTGAAATATCACAGTGGCATAGGTCTGATTATAAGAAAGTTTCTTAACCTCCGATATAATAATACTACTAATTTCTGTATTGTCTTGAATGGAGCGCCTAAATGTTCCAGGTCCAACTGCTTGAAAGTAAAACCTACGCTGCTCTGAATAATCTGCCTAAAGCTAGAGCTGCTCTAACTAGTGCTAGAACTACAGCTAACTCCATCTACGTTCCACCCAGAGTTCAGGTATACACAATTACAATTTACACTTTACAGCTGATGGAATTTAACTTCATATCATAATAGCCTCCTGCTCTAAAATTCAAGATATGGCCTTAAAATGGGTTTAAATCTTTTTTTTCGCGATTTCAGCATTAATATTTTAAAAATAACATTCTATTACCTTTTTTGTGTTTTTTTTTTGAAATAATTGTCAATTCCAGGGACTGTAAAGGAAAAATGAAAGGGGGTATAGGTTGAAACCTGAGTATTTCAGGAGTTGATCGAGACCAATAAGAGTTCTATCGGATGTTCCTGTCTCGAGAAATTAATATAAAACCCTGTAAAAATTGTACCGAAAGCTATATCAGATTTGGTAAATACGTGATACAGACGGAGACATGTGACAATGCTACTGCACTGCCATTATAGTGGGAGTTCTAGTCACGCGATTCGGACGTATTACTTATATTTTCAATTATATCTATTAAAAATGAAAAATTATTAAATTCAAATAATAAAAGGAGCAAGCCTCCTCTGGGATATCGTCGTTTTTAGATTGGTTGCGTATTTTCTGAATAGGATCTGTTTAAAACTAAAATTATTATACCAAATCTAATAAAAAATATAGTTTTTGGTATTGTTCTGACACAGTTTTATGTCAATATCTCGAGACAGGAACTTCGGATAGAACTCTTCTAGGTCTCGGCCAACTCCTGAAATGCTCAGGTTTCAGCCTATACCCCCTTTCATTTTTCTTTTACAGTCCCTTTAATCAAGACCGTTAAACTACGTATGAAAAGGCATTTCAATTTTAATGATTGTCAATAACAGATCTTTATTATTTAGAAAATTATTGTGACATATTTAACATAATAACAATACTATAACAGGCTGGTCGGTTCAGGCTGGTCAGCTAGTCAGCTTTGTCCCGATAACCCGGCAGCTTTGATATAATTAACACAAGGGGGGGGGGCTAGGTATGGATGGATAGAACGAATTACAATTATAGAAGTATGAACAGTGCTTTGAAAAAAAAGTAAAATTTCATATTCAGTAAAAACAAGAAACAAAATGTATCTTCATACATTTTTATGCATGGAAAAATGACTGTAAATCAGTAGGCAATCTCTTCAGTAAAAGAAATAATGTCTGTATTAGGAACAAATGTCTGTTTTGCATGGAAAAATTACTGTAAATAAGTAGGCAATCTCTTCAGTAAAAGAAAAAATGTCTGTATTAGGAACAAATGTCTGTTTTCCATGAAAAAATGTCTGTTTTCTAGGAGTACATGTTTATTTTCCATAAAAAAAATATATTTTTGAATTTAATGTATTTGGTCCATGAATGGAAGAAATGGTATATTTTCTTGAGAAATCATCCCCTCTCCCCACTTCAGAAATCAATATTTTACCACTTTTTTTGATTTTTTTTGGACGTTTTGCTGAAATAGATAAAAATAAATGAAAATTTGGGTAAATAAATGAATCATAACTATTAAGAAA